TTGCAAATTCTACCAAGCTGTACAGACTTAATCTGAGCTTCAATTCGCTTTCGGGTTTCATCCCAACTAGTCTCACCAAGTTCCCTTCTCTCACCATCCTTGCCCTCCAACACAACAACCTCTCTGGTCCTATTCCAAGCACTTGGGGTGCTGCAAATCGAAATCATAGTTACAAACTTACGATCCTGACCCTTGATAATAATCTGATTTCCGGAACTATTCCAAGTTCTCTGAGCAAATTGGGTTTTCTTGAAGAGATTTATTTGAACAACAACCAGATTTCCGGGACCATTCCCGATGAAATAGGGGAGCTCACAAGGCTCCAAAAGCTAGACTTATCCAACAATGCCATCAATGGCAGCTTCCCTTCTAGCTTCTCCAACCTCTCCTCCCTTGTTTCGTTGAGCCTCGAGGGCAACCGCCTCAATAACCAAATCCCGGAAGGCCTGGAAAGGTTGCAGAACCTCTCAGTACTTAACTTGAAGAAAAACAATTTCAGTGGCCACATTCCAGCATCTGTTGGCAATATCTCTGGAATTTACCAACTCGATTTATCCGAAAACAAATTCAGTGGGCAAAATTCCTGCTTCACTTTCCAGCTTAGACAACCTCACTTCCTTCAATGTTTCTCACAACAATCTCTCTGGCCCCGTCCCTTCTCTCCTCTCGAAAAAGTTCAATTCTAGCTCTTTTGCGGGCAATCTTCAGCTGTGCGGGTACAGCGCTTCAACTCCGTGTTCTTCTCCCCCGCCTCAGATTCTTCCATCTTCTCCGCCAGCAGAGCAGCCCTTGAAGAAAAAGCATCACCACAAATTTAGTACGAAGGACAAAATTCTCATAGCGGCGGGTGCCCTCCTGGCGGTTCTGCTTCTACTCTGCTGCATTTGCTTGTTTGTTTGGTGAAAAGGTCTGCTTCAAAAGGAATGAATGGTACAACGGCTAAGCAGGCCGCTGATGCGGGGATCGCTGCCAAGGCAGTTCCTGGTAGTGCCGGAGTTGAATATGGCGGTGAAGCTGGTGGGAAGCTTGTTCACTTTGATGGGCCTTTCGTTTTCACAGCTGATGACCTGCTGTGTGCCACTGCTGAAATAATGGGGAAGAGCACATATGGGACTGCATACAAGGCAACATTAGAGGAAGGACATGAAGTTGCAGTGAAGAGATTGAGGGAAAAGACAACGAAAGGTCAGAAGGAATTCGAAACTGAAGCTGCAGCAATTGGGAAGATTCGCCACCCGAATCTCTTGGCTCTGAGGGCTTATTACTTGGGACCTAAGGGAGAGAAGCTTCTCGTCTTCGATTACATGTCTAAGGGTAGCCTTGCATCCTTCCTTCATGGTAAGTTGATTCAACTATGCTCATCTATTTCCTTTGATGACATGCCTAAGCGCTTTTAGTTGTCGGAAAGCACTTTTAACCCCTTAACCATCTTATGTTTGTGATGTATATTTCTTATGCAGCTCGAGGGCCAGACACCATCATTGATTGGCCAACAAGGATGAACATAGCGATCTGGCATCACTCGGGGACTATGCTATCTCCACAACGACGAGAACATTGTACATGGCAATCTCACATCCAGCAACATTCTACTTGATGAGCAGACCAATGCTCACATTGCAGACTTTGGCCTTTCGCGCCTCATGACTGCGGCCGCCAACACCACTGTGATCGCCACTGCAGGAACTCTCGGCTACAACGCACCTGAGCTCTCAAAGTCCAAGAAGGCCACAACAAAGACTGATGTGTACAGCCTTGGGGTGCTCATACTGGAGCTGCTGACAGGAAAATCCCCCGGGGAACCGATGAACAGCATGGATTTGCCCCAATGGGTGGCATCAATTGTGAAAGAGGAGTGGACAAATGAAGTTTTCGACTTGGAGCTCATGAGGGATGTGCCAACCATAGGTGACCTGCTGCTTAACACATTGAAGTTGGCTCTGCATTGTGTGGATCCATCGCCGGCTGCGCGGCCGGAAGCTCAGCTGGTTCTGCAGCAGCTGGAGGAGATCAAGCCTGATCAGGCAACTGGTGGTTCTGCAGCTGAAGGAGGAGCAGAAGTACCGCCACAAGAAGCTGAGTAAAAAAGGGTTTATTACTTTATTTGGGATAAATCTGGGTTTTGTTGTTATCTTATCACTTAATTTGTTCATAGGATTAGGAGGAGGTATAGGCATTAAAATTAAATTATATTCTTTGGTATATGTAAATACAGGTTTTAGTTATATTTTTTTTATTCTTTTTGTTGGGGATAATAATGTACTCCTTCAAGTTGTGTTTCTGTTAACAAAGCAGAAGAATGAATGATCAGTATAATTATGCTTTATTATGTTATAATCAAGGAAGAAAATATCGGTAATATCGGAAATATCGGTAGTCCGAAAATACGGAAATATCGATGGAAATATCGGGATAATATCGATATCGATAAAAATTACATGGAAACTACGGAAATTGTAAGAAAAACTTGGAAATTTTTAATGAAACTTTGTAGGATGTTTATTTAGTCAATTATCTATTAGTTTATCACAAAAAATTGGAAGGAAATGCATTGCATGATGGATTTAACTGATTTAAGTTGATTATATAGCGAGCTGGCAAACATTGTGAGTGTAGAAAATATGTAGTAATTAATGAAAGAAGTTTAAACACACCATAATCATTTATATATAATTAATTAGTACAATATTTGGAGGTTTTATTTAGGATATTAAAAAAAAAAGGGAGTGAATAAAATGATGAAGAATAATGTGCCGAATTTGACAATTTAAATTTCTTACACATAAGCATGCGTCTAGGCGTTGAAGTTCCAAATTATAGTATATCAATTAACAATTGAAAATCAATACATTGAATAAGACTAAACTTTAATTTGGATGCCGATTATGTTTTTTCAAGTTGATATAAAGTAAAAGTATTGAATTTTGGAAGCCAGGAGTGTGTCAATTGAATTTTGGGCAGCGTGCAAGGTATCAATCTCTTCGTCTCTTCGAGGGCTACAACTTTCCTTTTTGTTTCACTCAATTTCGTTTGCGTATTGAAAAAGTTAATACTCATTTGAATCTTACCCCCAGTTTTCGGCGACCTCAGTAGCTTTCGAGGCAATTTCCGGCCAAACCACAATGAGTCAGATGTCGTGTGAGGTACCCATTCTCTTCGTCTCTTCGAGGGCTACAACTTTCCTTTTTGTTTCACTCAATTTCGTTGCGTATTGAAAAAGTTATACTCATTTGAATCTTACCCAGTTTCCGGCGACCTCATTAGCTTTCGAGGCAATTTCCGGCCAAACCACTGCGAGTTGGCCGGTGTGCAAGGTATCAATCTCTTCGTCTCGTCGAGTAGTACAACTTTCCTTTTTGTTTCACTCAATTTCGTTGAGTATTGAAAAAGTTATACTCATTTGAATCTTACCCAGTTTTCGGCGACCTCAGTGACTTTCGAGGCATTTTCCGGCCAAACCACGACCATTCAGACGTCGTGTGAGGTACCATTCTCTTCGTCTCTTCGAGGGCTACAACTTTCGTTTTTGTCTTGCTTGATTTAGTTGAGTTTTGACAAAGTTATGACCGTTTAAAGTGGGTGTAAAATTCGGCCGAAATTTTGATTTTTTCTCCCATTGGGCGAGTCCCACATCGCCCATGCAAGGAAGTGAGCAAGCCATTTTTCCTATAAAAGCCACACTCCCCTGTTGAGATATCCAAAGCTTGTTTGGCCTTTGGGCCTTGATCAAGCGAAGTATGTGGTAAGTTAACTTAACATTTAAGTATTTTTTTAATAAAATATTGTGATATTATCGATAATTTTAAAAATATCGCGATATTTTCGATAATATCGCGATATTTTAACGAAAATATGTTTGATAGTTAAAAAAATTTCGGAATTCCAAAAAAACGATAATATTGGCGATATTTCGCCAATATTATCGATTTTTTCTTCCTTGGTTATAATATAAGATTGCTTAACTTTCTTTTATGCAAAAAAAGAAACACATAAATTAAACAGTGACCACGATTACAACCAGTTCTCATACAATCAAATATATAATGAAATCCAGCTTTGGTAATCGCATCCGACAAAAAATTCACTTCTCAATACACACGTGTCCAAAAAATGTACTCAAAAGTATTTTGCAAATCTTTGATATCATCAATGTCAGACATGAGACGCCAGGAAACAATGCAAGATCCCGTACTAGCATCAATCACCAACTTAGAGTCTCCTTCCACGCAGATTTTCTTGAAACTTCTTCTCGCTAACCAAAGTGCATCCCTCAGGGCCAAGCATTCAGCAACACAAATTGAACGTTCACCCAAGGACCTAGCACCAGCAACAATGGGGTCTCCTCTCCAGTCTCGTTTCTAATGATGAAACTAGCAGCCGCCTTAGAATTCACCACCGTTGCTTAACTTTGATAAGTATATGGTTGTGTGTTTAATTATTTCCAAAATAAATTGAAAAAGTAGAAATTAGTTTCCCTTAGTTTCCCATCTCCAGGAATCTTTAAGAAAATACAACAAATTCGCATAACACGAAAATATTAAAAACTTAGAAGAGAACTTGCCCATACAAACAACTTACAGGAGTTGATTTAGTTTATTACTTAGCAAGCACTCACTCCTAGTCCTAGATATCACTCAAATTCTTCTTTATTGAAAGGTATTACAAAACTAGATGAGAGAATGTCATGTCACATTATATATGACTTCGAAAAATTATACTTTAGAACTTGAGAGATTAGATCGCAAGTGAAGAGTTCGATAAAATAACTGCGTGAATCTAATAAAGAAAAATCGTGATGAACATAAACCAGACAAAAAATTTCTTCAAAAGAAATAAACCCTACATTCCAAAATATGTTTCTCTAATTTTAATCTAAAAAATCCATGTAATTTGAAAAATTATTCTGAAAATCAAGTAAAAAACCCTTTTTACATTTTTTTAGGGTAAAAAATAAAATAAAACCTTTACAAATAAACCAGTCAGTCAGCTACCGATTGCCATTTAATTCATTTCTGTTTCGCGCACTCTCTTCTCCTCTCTCTCTCTCTCTCTCTCCCCGTCTGCTAATCTGCTCATGCAATGGAAGACCATTCCCTAGACAAGGTGGCGATGTCAGGCCCAGCCCTGGCCTCCATGATCCAACGCTTCTCCACCTCCCCAGGCTCCGTCGACGGCCTGATCTTCGGCCATGTCAGCCACATCCCCCCTACCCTCACCGACGACTCTCCCAATTCCACCTCCTCCGCCACTCTCATCGCCACCGTCACCGCCTTCTTCTGCTCCGGCTCCACCCTCTCCTTCTACAACTCCTCCGGCCGGGTCGACCCCCTCTCCCTCCGCCGCTTCGTCCAAGCCCAGCAGGCCCAATCCCCCTCCTCCCACCTACTCGGCTGGTTCTCCGGCCGCCGCAGAACCCACCTCCGCCCCTCCCTCCGAGAATTCTCAGTCTCCAACTCTCTCTCCTCCAACCCCACTCTCAACTTCCCAATCCAAAACCCTCCCGAGGGCTCCCCCGCCACCCCAACTCTCACCCCCTCCCTCTTTCTCCTCTTCGCTTCTCCGGTCACCGATCAGACCATCCACACTCACGAGTACCGTGCCTATCAGTTCCGGCCATCCAAGCACTCCTTCGAGCCGAAATCGATCCAGATCGTCAACATTGGGCCCGCGTTCCGAGCCCATTACGGGAATTTCAACCCTAGCTCGCCGTTCCCAATTTTGCCCTGCGAGCTTAGGGTTTCGCCGATGAATGTCGACAGGGGAGAGGAGAGCTTAGATCAACTGAAGCAGCACAACAAGGATCAGAGCGAACTGGATATGTGCAGTGAGGACTTGGATGTTGGAAGCCTCAGTAGGCTGATGGGTTCGGAGGCTGCGAATTACACCGCCGGCGTCGAGGACTTGTATGAGAAAATGCTTGTCAAGATTGAAACTTTGACCAGGCTCGTTGAGCAGAGCTCCGCCAAGGTTCTTGAGCAGGTGAGCACTTGCTGAATTTAGTAAAATTTTCGGAGAATTCCATGTGAATTTTGTTGGGATTTTGTCAATGTTGTCAAACAATCATGATATGTCATTAGCAGTATCGAGTTTGTGTGCAATGATTGCTTTTTTGTTTACTGAATATGGTAAATTTTCGGAGAATTGCATTTAAATTGTGGATGGGATTTTGTCAATGCAGTCAATTAATCATCAAATTGTCATTGGAAATATTGAGTTTGTATGCTACGATTTTTCTTTACTGAAATTAGTAAGTTTTTGAGAATTTCGTGTGAGACTTGATGGAATTTTGTCAATGCCATCAAATAATCATTAATTTTCAATGTTAGTGATGTCAATTGTGTGCTTTGCATCCCATATCAGGAAGTTGTTAACTCGTTCTTTTGGAAAATCTTGGCAGGAAAATCACAATAGGAAGCTAAGGTACAAAGCTGCTAGGTCTGCTGGGTTGGAGTAATTGCGCAATTGTAGCTGGTGGCGTTTTCTGGGTGGTGAGTTTTGTTAGTTTTCTTTCTCCGGCCAGTTTATTTTAATTCCTATATTCATACAGTTTGAACACATGATATTTTACTTTAGTTTCCTATAAAAAGAATCAAGTATTGTAGGCAGACACCAAAAGCCATAAGACTTGGGCAAATAGCGACCTCCTTAACACAAAGCGTACGCTTTCGCGTGGAAGGCTTACACCTGACGGGAAACTCTCGCACCCCTGTACGCCTGGTTGAAAATTCATAGGCGCCTCAATTCTCTCATTGAGGCAGGTTTTTATTTAAAACCTTAAAATAGATTATAGTGGTGTTGTTCACAACTGTGAGATCGTGGAAAGAGAGAGATTGTGTCAGAGTCCCTTGCCATTTAATGTGGAGTATATCAAATGTGACATCAATCTATACAAGCCCCTTTGGTTCTGATAGGCTTGAATTCTATACACAGCTTAACATTTGCATATATGACCAATACTCTCATGTTTTGTATTGTCTCCTGAATCTGTTTAGTTTTTGCTTCTTCGACATCATTTTGTGTTCCTTGTCTTACATATTTATCTTGCAGTATTTCCGTTTGAATTTAATCTTCTTACTAAAGTCCAGATTCTCCATAAATGGGGGTAAGGCTAGCCGACATTCACCTCTCCCAGACCCTGCGTAAAGCGGGAGCCTTGTGCACTGGGTACGACCTTTTACTAAAGTCCAGATTCTAGTCCCTCTTAGAGTTCTTTTCTGGTAGCTGAGCTTGTCCTCGTCCTTTAGCACCAAATATCATCTGTCTAGGGTGGCTTTTTCTAGATTCTCTCGAATCTGCCTTGTATGCTGTACACTACATTTGACGATTTCTTTTGTGAGACATGCATGCAGATGCACTGTGGCTATGCTAACTTGCTCTTGCCCAGTATGCACCCTCTGAAAATTTGACCCCTTTTTATTAATCTTCGTCTTTAAATGGTTGTATAAGATTTTTGGTTTCCCTTATAAGGTGACCCTCAGTTGCTTTTCTACGATGATAACTAATAATTTCCCTTGTGTGGAATCGCATTGTATTTTGAGTGCATTCTTGATTTTCATTTGGAATCAGTGAATATCATTCATGGTAAAGATTAAGTTTATCCTTGATGCGTGTCTGCTTTCTAAGTCTCACTTTGAGTTGGTTTTTCTGTTGGAATCACTGGATACAGGATAATGCCCAACTCGGTGGGTGTGCTAGCTGATGTATGTAAGATTTAGCAGCCATGGCATTGATTTTTGATGAATCATAAGGTCAATGACTTTCTGAGATGAAAATCTGTAGGAACCATGGAAGTGTTTATGTAGTCATATGGTTGGCATGTTTTGGTGGTAGTTGAAGATGTCCTTTTGTACTCTGCTTTTGCTGTATCATGTCCCGTGTATTATCCATGTGTTTGTTCCAATCACTCCAATTTATAAAAGGAAGATGAAAGCAAATGGATTGTGCAGTGTTTTTATCTTTTCTTCTTCAACCATGGACCAGGGAAAGACACAAGAAGATATACCTTCGGTTGTAGGGCAGAATTTATCCTTTAATGAGGCGATCTTGGATTTGTAGGCACTCTTTTGTCCAATTAATTTTCTTCTGTTTTGTGCAGTGTTGTTACGTGACAATTTCCTACTCACGAACTTGTGTGTCGTGTGGACAACTAACCCAAAGCATTGCTCTTGTTACGTTATGATGCCATCTTATAAAAATATTCAAAAAAAAGAGTAACGCAACAAACAAAGTGTAGTATTAACGATATTATTTAACTTATAACGGAGCAGTTGCAAAGAAGAGCAGCGTACCCGTTGCAAGAAAGTTTTATATGGGAGCAGTAAAACCGTAGACAATTTGCTCCATTAGGTCATAACGTAGGTGGGATTAACTACATACAAATGTAGGACATAGTAGGTGATCTGTCCTCGTTCACATATATGAGAAGTTCTATGTTCGACTCTTATGACGTCTCGGGTACCAAAACTGCAGATGGATGGTTGTGAGTCTTAGTTTCGTATTAGTTAAGATGTTAAAATGGTGAAACAAAAGTTTTGTCGAAGATTTATCAACATTTTGACCGAAATTAATATATAACCTAGCTGAAACTAGTTAATTGAGCTCCGAGTAAATAATGACCAAACGGGCTGGTTGAGCGTCATATTCTAGAGGATGAATTTCATCGAATCACAAGAAGTAGTGTATTTAACCTTTTGTTTGCGATTTGAGGTTTTGTTTAATTTCATACCTAATTCTTTTTATGTTGAAAACATGTATGTGTTTATGCATGTAATAGTAATACTAATACCAGCTAGATATTCGTTTCACAAATAATCTAATTCAAAAATAGTGAAAAATATATATAAAGATTGATTGATCGGGTAGAATTCTCAAAAAAATTCATTTCGTTGGGGAGTATTAATTTCAATTGCAAATACAATGAAATGTGAATGTAATTGAACTTGAAGCATGTTATGCAGTAGTAAGCACTTGTTGATTTGAATGAGATTAGTCGAGAATGCAAAAAAGTCATCAAGGGCAGATTGAATGGCCTCAAATTATGAATGCTCCAAGAAGCTCACAGAAGACTCTTCTAGTTGCTTAACAAATGCGGCATGAAAATCTCATGACACACATGAATTCTATTGCTCCATCTCTTCTCGCATATTTTCAGGTGATATGATCGCAACAGATTGTTATTCCAATCTTCATCCAAACAGTAAAAGATTGGTTTTTCTGAAATTACCCTTTTCCTTGGTAATTCCAAAATGTCTCTGATTGGTCTTGTTTTCTGAAAGGGAACAGATGGAGGTAGTATCCTCCCCATAGATATGTCAGCGGTGCCCGCCCTACTTCTGCTAGAGAAAGACTGAAATTTAGGAAAAAAAATTAAAATAAGACTCGCATTCGAACCCATATTTTATCCAACAAATATTCATAAAACAAAAATTGTGATGAATACTTAAACTTACTGAGTCTCATCTGAATGAAATATGATATCTCCATCATCTTTCCCAGCAAGTTTGGCGGGGTAGATGAGAAATAGAGCCCTCTCCCTGATTTCGTTTAGCAAGCTAGAGTTGTGACCACATTTTAGAAAAGCTTCCTGTATCACAATGTTGGTGGCGTTTGTAGTAATACGTGCAACCGTTACATAAAAATAGGGTTGTTCAAATATAGATTATGCAAACTGTCAAATATGAGCTTATTTAGATAGGTTATAAAAGCCTACCTTTGTATGGAGTACCCGAGTATTTATCTTTCAGTGTGGCCTCGAACAAGGCTTGCAGCGCATCATTTTCTGCTTGTTCGGGTTTAACTTGCAATTGTCCTTCCAGCTATCCTTCACCACTCTCCTCAACATGTTTTCTTTGTCATACAAACTATGAGGAAAGATAGTCCAACTTCTGCACCACTCCCCATCCCATAGGCCCTTTACATCAGTGGAAACTGAGACTTCAAGCTCTCTGTTGGGCATCCGCAATCAGGCTGATATGCACACCAATCAGAGTAATTTGGTACAACAACTTCCTGAAGATAATTCCCCTTAGGTGTATTATCCTCTACAGAGCCTACAATTAACATGTATCCGCAACATCCTCTTCATGTAGTACTTGCCACTTTTAACAATTTGATTAAATCTTTTTGCTCGTGAATCTTAACTTGTCACAAAAGCTAATGTATGACAAAATCCACCATGCCATTGCATCTTAAGGGTATTGTGGGTGGACGATTAGAGACTAGACTAAGCTTTGTGGTTGGATACAGAATGACACCATCGTACAAAATTTGTCGTGAATCTGTTGCCATAACAATTGCATATTGCAATATAATAATAAAGCAAGTGGTGCCTTTCACAGAAGGCAAGGGTTCCTATTGAAAACATGCCATAATTTTGATTAAGCAATATCACAACAAAATTTAAACCCAAATAAACTTTTCCAAGCTTTGGAAACATTAATTTGAGTTCGTAAATCATGGCATGTTTTCAACAGTAACCCTCGCCTTCTGTGAAAGGCACCACTTACTTTATTATTATATTGCAACATGAAATCGTTATGGCAACATATTCACGACAAACTTTGTACAACGATGTCATTCTGTATCCAACCACAAAGCTTAGTCTAGTCTCAGATAGCCTACCCACAATGTCCTTGAGATGGAATGGCATGGTGGATTCTACCATGGCATTAGATTTTGTGACAAGTAAATAGTCATGAGCAAGAAGATTTAATCAAATTGTTAGAAGTGGCAAATACTACATGAAGAGGATGCTGCGGATACATGCTAATTCTAGGCTCTGTAGAGGATAATACACCCAAAGGTCATTACCTTAAGGAAGTTGTTGTACCAAATCACTCAGATGAGTGTGCATATCATCATCAAAGTGCATATTAGCCTGATTGCGGATGCTCAATAAAGAGCTGAAGTCTCAGTTTCCACTGATGAAAAGGGCCTATGGGATGAAGATTGGTGCAGAAGTTGCACTATCCTTCCTCATAGGCTTGTACGACAATGAAAACATGTTGACGAGATATGATGAGGAGAGCGGTGAAAGATGGCTGGAATGACGGTTGCAAGTCAAACCGAACAAGCAGAAAATGATGCGCTACAAGCCTTGTTCGAGGCCGCACTGAAAGATAAATACTCAGGTCCTCCATTCAGAGGTAGGCTGTTATAACCTATTTAAATATATATCTAAATAAGCCCATATTTGATAGTATGCATAATCTATATCTGAACAACCCTATTTTTATGTGACAGTTGCACGTATTACTGCAAACGCCACCAACATTGTTATACGTCACAACAAAATTTACAAACTCAAATTGATGTTTCCAAAGCCTGGAAAAGTTTATTTGGGTATAGATGTTTAGAAAATTGTGACACTGTAAGCAAATAAACTTAACAATGGAGAAATATTTAATCCAAAATGAGGGAATAGTCAAATTATGAACAATATCATTAAAATCATGAGTGGCTAACAGATAATGACAACTGATGGAGACATGTTCACCAAGCAAAAATAAGCATATTAAGGCAGAAATTTTGATTTAAGTAGTCTGGGAACATATACAATGTCAAAGAAACCTCATAGGTGAAAAAATTTGGTCAAAATTTTGGGTTCGTGAATTAAAAGATTTAAAAGTAGCAAAGAGAACAACCAAGAAATGAAAAGAAATAAAAATACTCAGAGCGAATATATCAATGAACTACTTAAAACTAAGATTCCACATATTCTGGCTTTTAGAAGCATACCAGGGAAGAAAGCCGACTCTGTCTGAAATTAGGATTAGGAATTGCCAATTCCCCGAGAGCTCTAAGCATGGAGGACAGGTTTTTCTGTATTTCTCGGACCTTCTCACGCATGCATGCCTCCGCCATTGCAGCTTTTCCTTTATCTGGCAAATTAATGCTCCTCAATACTTTGATTAAAGTAAAAACATACAAAATTTCCGGTGAAAACACGTATGCAACAATAATTCACCAGGTTTCTTTGCAGACTTCCCAGTTCCCATTTTACCACTGGAAATCAAGCCTTCAGGGGTATCAAAAATCTGAAACAATATAAGTGGAAACAAATTTCAGATAAACTACCAAACAAAGTAAAAAATTGATTTAGTTCAAATAAATTACAAAGTGTAACACATTAGATGTTCATAAAAGTCGGTGAAATTACTAACGTAGAAGATGATGGAGAATAAAAAACCAAAAAACCTCTAACAAAAAGAGATCTTATAATGGACTACCTACATAACCCATCCCTCTCTCTCTGTAAGACACATTTGTAGGTCAGTTTCTATCAGGACCACATCAAAATCCTAAACCATTCCAATTAATAGACAATTGTCTTTTAAAAGCATGTTTAAGAAAATATATGGTTACTGGTTGGCAACCTGGCATCCATCCTACGAAAGGTAAAACTACTTTAGCAGATTGTATGGTATAACACCAACAATCATTATCACATTTTAACAGATGGTTTAATAAGTTCATGCGTCTTTAGAACACATATTTTGCTCAACTGCAGTTTGTACGGTGTTTCTACCAGGCAGTTCGACTTATAGATCAGCATTCACCAATGCAGGATGTACTTAAGCAAAATATTTATCAATCTCATATATTCCTAATGAACAAAGATTAAATCCATCAATTAAAATGAATATAAAAAACTAGTTGGTTTACCTTGACCAAATTCTCCGCATTAGCCAAAATGTTGCTGATGATGTCAAAACCAGAAGCATGCATACAATTCTGCAGCCACTGAACAAAAGAACCAATGCAATCAGCTCAAAACATAGGCAAAAACTTAATGGACGCAGTTCAAATAAGTTTTTAAGATTTTATGAGCCTTAAACTGATGGTATTACCACGTACTACCAACAAACAATATTGCATTTTAACCAATAGTTTAAGTGCATGCGTCTTTGGAACACATATTTTGCTCGATTGCAGTTTGTACGGTGTTTCTACCAGGCAGTTCGACTTATAGATCAGCATTCACCAATGCAAGATGTACTTCAGCAAAATATTATTATTTATCTATCTCATGATTCCTAATGAGCGAAGGTTGAATTCATCAATTAAAATGAATAAAAAAATGAGTTGGTTTACCTTTAACAAATTCTCCACGTCGGCCAAAATGTTGCTAATGGTGTCGAAACCACATGCATGCATACATTCTTGTAGCCTCTGAAGACAGAAAGAACCAATCCAATCAGTTCAAAAAGGCTATTGTGATTTCACTATGCCAAAATAGATAAAATCAGCATGAGAAGGCACACAAATCCATATGAACAGATGTTTTCTACCAGTAAAAGAGGGAAAGGAAACAAACTGTCATGACTTATTGTCAAAATATAGGCAAAAACTCAATGGAACCAGTTCCCAAATACGTTTTAAATTTTATGAGTCTTTCATGGAATGGAAGACTCATAAAATGGGGGTAAGGCTAGCCGACATTCACCTCTCCCAGATCCTGCGTAAAGCGGGAGCCTTGTGCACTGGGTACGACCTTTTCATGGAATGGAAGATAAGTAATCTTCAAGCATCTTGGTTTATTATATTTTTTTATCAAGATTATATTATACGAGATAGCCCTGCTTTCAGATTAGAAATGAGATGCAAAAAAAACCTGCTAAACCAAGCAACATAATGAAAAAACACCTTTTCTCAAATAACAAAAATCAAGAGAAAGATATACCTTCCAAAATGCATCTCCCCTTGCAGTTCCGACCAAATATGGATGATCAGCGCAGAACAAAACTCGCGTCGATGGACTTGGAGCTGCAGGTAGAGCTATTGATGATCACCATGAAAGCCTTTAATAAAAACTCAACCAACAGGAGTGGTAAGGTATAACATACCTTGATCAAATGCCGGGACTTGCTCAGGTGAGCTCGACAACTTGAAATGTACATCAGGGTGACTCATTTCTAGTAATGGTTCAAGTCTAATGTTGCCCCCGGATGCAGAATGAGGCCTTTTCCTGCTGGACCTGTTCACAGACAGTACTTTATCACATGGTCTATGAGAAGCAAGAAAGCTCTAATTGCACGAGACATTTCAAGATAATTGTCCAAAGAATTTATGAACATTTTATAGCATTGAAATATTAATATATTGGTTGACAGAAACAATTTTAGCCGACCCCACTTAGTGGGAAAAGGCTTTGTTGTTGTTGTTGTTGTTGACAGAAACAATTTACTAACCGTCCTGAATTGCCTTCTGAAGGAATTCCCTGCCCTGATGCTGAGCTTGGGATGGATCTTACGTCATCTGTAAATTTAAGTGAAGTAAAGAACTATTTAGAACATCACTGAATATGTTTGAAATGCATTAACCAAAGATGCAAGGTATGCAAAGAATTAAACAAATTTACTGTACCAGAATTTCCAGGCACTGCCATCGGGTTAGTATCATTTCCCCTAAGCCAATGTCCTTAAGATTGGCTGTCAGTCCTTCCATGAGTACACTTGCTGGCTCATTCTTGCCCTTTGTCACACCAGAACTTGGCCGTTGCTTATCTATGGAAGACTGGGAGCCACCTCCACTATGAAAATCTTCGAAAGGCTTCACATGTCCAGTTTCAACACATTGTAACGTGTCAGACATGAGCTTACTCCTCTTTTCGGAAAATGAACAAGTAATATAAGGTGGACTGGCTTACATATCCCATTGGATCATCATAGTTTTGCCTCTCAGGCCGTATTGGTGACAGTGGTCCTTGGGGCTGGGGCGAGGATGTCCATCCTGTAGACAGAGAAATAACTCAGGTACTCTTTCTACTTCTTGAATTTATATACATGAGGAAGTTCTCAAAATGAAATAACATGTACTGACCAGCAGGAGACTCGTGAGGAGTTCGGACACTTTTCATCCATGTCAAGGAGAGGACGTGGATAATATACGTTTTCACTTCCAGTTGTAAATAAATCTTCCATTAGTACTTTAGGTGGCAGGTGAGGTTTGCTATCTTCATAGTTTCCATTACATCTTTGCGCTGCAGCTACACATAGCGTAAGAAATATGAAGTTCTTGCATGAAAATTTAGGTGAATGAAGTTTGTACTTGGTAACATAGAAATCTAACAGTTTATTCAACAGCTTTGAAATAAAACTTATGTTGCACTAACCGCAATCGAGGTAACCCATCCTAGTCCCTTCAACTTTAAGTTAGTATGTTCGCATGTTCCATTAACCAGAATTGAAATATAGATGGGCATAAACTGATGCATACACCTTGGGGATCAGGGATTAACCTTTTGTTTCCTTGCATCTCGTGAAACATCTGAAGGATTTTGGAGCCAAGATTGGCATTCATGACCAGGAATGATTGTTTGTTCAAAATCGATTCCAGATGGTTGCTTTCTTGTTCTCCATTTTTTAGTCCCCAGTCGTTTTTGGACCTGCTTCATCCACATCCCAACATTGAACAGTTGGTAGTTACTTTCCAACATTAGAAGATGATTTTTGTGATTGTATGACTAGGAAAACATGATTATTACTTGCTACCTATCTAATTTCCTTGCTTTCATCTGGATGATTGGCCTGTTGTTCTGGATGTTGATCATCTTGGTTTGTATCACCTACAGGAAGCCCTGAGATCAGAAGAGTTTCACGTGCAATTATTATGTAAATTACGGTAGACTTGGTTCCTTGCATCTAAATTTATCAAAATTCAGAAATTGGCAAATTATTTTATGGGTAAAGGGATTATCTGACCTTCCTGATGTTCATCGCGAGGAGAGGGTATCGGAATATGTGTGTACTCTCCTGACGTGAAGTTAAACTGTGTCTCTTCATCCCGTTCGATATCAAATCTTCCATCCACATAGAACACACATGTAAGACTGACTACAACTTTAAAAACATTGAGTTTTCATGTAGGAGGGTTGACACACGTCTCACCTCTCCAAGCTATTGTACATAAAATGATCAGCTTGAAATGGATCAAAACGATCAGGTAAGGTGATATTCCCGACATTAGCTGAATGAGAGAGTAACATAAATTAGCAGATAAGCAAATTTGGATAAATGTGGACAAATGACTCAACTTAAAAATATGACAAAAGCAGTTTAAATGAATGATAGAACCTTGGTAGAGTTGCGGAGCTGGACCTTCCTCCCCTGCTGCATTGTTGTTAACATATTGTTCAACACTATCAAGTCGCTGCAAAGATAGAGAATAGTTCAATGAGGCAATTCAGAGGATTCTATCAGTTTAGAATTTTCTTTATGCAGTTCATACTTCATACATAGGCAATCGCATCTTCCTATCATATCCGAAAACAAGGCATAACAGCTGAAAGGATACAATTCGTTGTGTCTGATGTGTAACTAGATCTACATCAACACGAGCCTTGGCACATCGCCATACAAAGAAAACGTTTTAACTGAGAACCATAACTGGTAGTATAGCTTTGCTCGAACGGAAACTACGTTTCTCCCCAGAGTGTGGCATGCACACCTTGGTAGCGGGGCTAAACAATAAAAATAGTTGAATAATCAGGACACACAAACTTGACCCATCATTAAAATCTTGTCCTCGGAAGGGGTTTTTGCTCACAAATCCTGTTCAGGGAATTCGTCAAACACCTTTCATACATACACTTTCAACTGACGGACACAAACACTTGCTACTAAAAAAGGTCGTACCCAGTGCACAAGGCTCCCGCTTTATGCAGGGTTTGGGAGAGGTGAATGTCGGCTAGCCTTACCCCCATTTATGGAGAGGCTGCTCCCAAGTCTCGAACCCGAGACCTACCGCTCATGGGCGAAGGCACTCGCCATCGCACCAAGTGCGACCTCACACAGACACTTGCTACTGATTGACAAAAATACCCTCGATGAACCATCCATGAGAGTTTCGACATTTTACCATAGCAAAATAGGAGGTTCGCTGAAATTGCATGGAGGCGCTGCCGTCGTGGGAAAAATTAAGAATTCCTTCAATCTCTGTGTCTTCGTTCTCAGGCAGCGTAATAGCTTCCTTTCTGCAAAAATGGAGACAACAAAAATCCACATATCAAATGACAATCCTGCCCCTCCACCCAAAACGTCATTCTAAACTACGCCGGTGTTTCGAAAATGCGGCGGTTCGGAAAATTTTGGTAACTTAGAAAAGAAGAAAGAAGCGGGACCGACCTGGCTTGCGATTTTCCATCGGGGAGGACGGTGTGGTCCCCAACAGGTTTCATCTTCCCTGCTTCGTTTAATTCGACCTACAACAACAACACACAGATATGAAAATTAAATATTAAGAATAATAATGGTAATAATTAGAAGAAAAAAATCGGAAATTAAAATAAGAAGTTCCAAGAAAAACAGTACCAGTGGAAGAGGCGCATCCTCTGTGTACGGAAACGAGAGCAACAAACAGAAAGGGAAGAAGTCAGAAAATATTTATTCGAAAAATTTGAAAATTGTTCGAATCCGAATGCAAGAGGAAGCAGGATCGGAACGTCACCTGAAAAACACAAACGAAGCGAAATGCAACGGAGGAGAGGGAGGGAGAGAGAGAGAGCGAGAGAGCGAGAGAGTTTGGTTACCCATTAGAATCCCTGAGAGGCGAAGAGCCATGGGAACCGAAGGGTTCAAAATCTCTTCGCTGCAAAAATAAATAAAAAATGCAGAAAAATCATGAAATGTTATATTTCATCGGAAAAACCAGTGAAAATTATCGGCGAAAACAGTGAACTCTGAAAATTTGAAGAAGTAAAAAAAGGAAGAAAAAGAAGTAGGGATTTACCAGATCTGGACGAAATCGAGCTTATTGAGCTTCCTGCGGTTGATTTTGGCGTGCTTTTGAGCAGCACTCCTTCGTGAGTTCACCGTTTGCAAGGAAATGTCAGTTTCGAAGAGAAAAATTATATATCCAAAGAAACATCAAAGTAAAATACGCAAAAAAAATCATAAACTCCAGAGAAAAATTCAGTTTCTAGGCGACATTGCATGAAATTACGAAATTCGTCACGATGAAAATGCAAGGAAAAAAAACAGAGAAATATACGAAGAAAAAACAGAGCAAATATGTGAAAGATAGATTCAACAAAAAATGTGTAGAAATCGGAGAATCATAGTGAGGGTTTACCAGATTTGACGTAGCGGAGCTTTCCGAGCTAGAAGCTAGTGCGAGTAGAACATTCCGTCGACGGCGAGAGAACGACGGTGAAAGAGAGAGGTGAAGTTAGAGAGAGATGGAGAGGAGAGACATACAGAGAGAAAGCTGAGAAGGAAGGAGGTAAATCGTAATGGTGGGGAGTGAGTGAGTGAGTGAGTGAGTGGGTGGGTGTTTGGCTCTCTGCATATAATAACGGATTCTATGCGCGAGAGAAAAAAGGACGGCTTTGCAGGAGGGACGCCGAATGCGTGTGATGTGTACGTGATTCAATGACCTTTGCATGCAGGGAAGTTTTGTGCTACGAACTTTATGAGTCTGACAGATGGACGGTCTGCGCTCCGAGGGAGGTAGATTGACGGCTGAGGTTGGAGGTTGTAGCAAAGATTTTAAACTTGGTAGGGTAAATGTAAAATATCTGATGTGTGCTGTAAGGAAGTGTTTGCTACGTGGAACGGAACGGAACGGAGTGAGACGAGGCGTTTCGTTTCATGTTTGGTGCGCCTAAAATGGGTGGAAAGCGCTGTTCAACGGGACAAATTTTGGATGAATTTTCGTTCCGCCTCATCCCTTTGGAACGACTCGTTCCACATCCGTGGAACACAAAATTATAATATCTCCATCTCCTTCTTCTTCCTCCTTGTTTCCATCCGAGGGCATCATTGCTCCCTCTCCATTCCGTTCTGTCATTTCCCGTCCTGTCCCATTCCATTCCGTTCCGTTCCGTTCCGTTCCGTTCCGTTCCATCCCGTCTGCATACCAAACAATACGTAAAACCAATTCTAATGACTATTATACGTACTCCTTAATTCCGTTCTCTGCCTTCAAATCCACGTGGCCTCTCCGGATTTGCTATGGCAAAAACCCATAGTTTTGCTTCGTACAGGCTCGGGCTTGGATCATCACCGTCCAATATGAGCCTTGATCCATGAAAAGGCCCAACTGTTTACTAAACTGGCGAGGACAATTTGATTTACTCGACCTAGACAATTAAATAAGGCTTCGAAATCCTTATTTTTGTTAGACCAACTCCGCTTCTAAAAAAATGCACCAGCATTCAACTTATTTAATCCATTTAATGAACAGTGATAGGCTCTAATAAACAGTAATAGGTTAAATGCATCTCCATTTCTAACAAAAAATAGCATAGTCCATTTTATTAAAATATAATTAAATAAAATGCATATCCAATTTGACCTTTAAAATAATGATTTTAATAGGTTTTAAAAACCTATTTCCTTACCCAATCCATCAGACATCTTCATCACTCTTTCTCTTTTTCCCCTCATTTGACCGGTTCTCTCTCTCTCTCTCTCTCTCTCTCTCTTTTCCTGCTTACTCCCATGAGCTCTCCTTCTCCTTTGTCTTCAAAACCTTCAACAAATCAAACACAAAATATTATTTTTGTAATCCTTAGAGCTCAAGGAACCCAACCATGGCCTGCATGCGGCATCGGTGCATGGTGCGAGATCCTACCATTGAAGCCGAGAGCTTAAGCTCTCAATCTCTAACCCAGGTGATGTTTCTATCACTATATTGTGTTCTTGAGCTTTAAATCTTGTTGTGTTACAATTTTTATGGTTAATTCGAGGGCTTAATTCCCTGCATGTGATTCCGACAAAGGAAAATGGACAAACTCTGACGAGTTCAAGGTCCAATTGTTGGTGAAATCTCTTGCATTTCACCAGGGTAAGTTCTCAATCCTATTCTTATGGTTTCTAACTTATAAATCGTGTGGGAAACCTTTGCGTTGATGCAAACATACTGTCGGTGCATTTTTTTTCTATAGATTTTATGAAGAACTCGGGCCATCACTTTCAGGCCATTTGCCTTCTCCTTCTGTAGCTCGTTCCCTCCCGACACCCTCTCCTGCCTCAACTAGCTCCGCTCCTCAGCTTCCACAAAACTCCCTCTTTGGCGCAAAAAAAAAAAAAAAGGCTGATGTCAGCCTGCGTCATGTAGGTCGTCCCATGGGTCTGTCGATTTTGGGCCAGTATCTTACCTGGCTTGGGCTAGGTGCCAACTTATTAGGTTGGGCTGGAGGGTTTTAGCTGGGTGCCGGGCTATCAAGCCTCGGTGGAACGCTCTTATAGATATTATTAAAGTGTAATTGTGTAAATCCTAGATAAATTTGGTTATTAGTTATTCTTTCTCTAGTGGGATAGTATTTACCCGAGCAAATGGGATATAATCGTCTGAGTGAGGATTTGATAAGTTAGGAATATATGAACAACGACTATGCCCTTGCGTGTTCGTTAAGAAGTCATATTTCGGATTTGCAATCATTGCAGTTTATGTCGACGACATGAATCTTATTAGGACTGCTAAAGAGCTTGAGAAAACTACCGCGCACCTGAAGTTAGAATTTGAGATGAAAAATCTTGTGAAAAATCGATATTGTCTTTGCCTGTAGATGAAGAATTGTTTGGATGGAATCCTAGTACATCAGTCGAACTACACCCATAAGGTGTTGCATCGTTTTAATGAGAATAAATCGAAGCCTGCAAGTACTCTTATGGTTCGTTTGATCACTAGATGCTAAACGAGATCCTTTTCGTCTAAATGAGGATGAATAAGAGATTTTGAAACCCGAAATTCTTTATCTAAATGTGATAAGCACTTTATTGTACTTAGCTCGGTGCACTAGACCCCAACATCTCCTTCGACGTCACTATTTTGGCAAGATACAACAATGCGCTCACACGCATACACTAGAAAAGTGTTAAAAACGTCTTCCACTACCTTAAGGGTATGACGAATTTGGGTTTGTTCTATCCCTACAAATCCTCGAGAGGTGCGGCAATTCCCCTCGGTTCTCGAATCGATTCCCGCCTCGTTGGGTATGCTGACGCGGGGTACTTATCCAACCCGTACATGGCGCTCTCAAAAGGTTTACGTCTTTACCGTTGGAGGCACTGCAATAACTTGAAGGTCAACCAAACAAACCTTAGTTGCCACTTCTTCGAACCATGCTAAGATACTTGCCATGCATGAAGCTACTCGGGAATGCTTATAGCTGAGAAAATTTGTGGGACATTTTCGAAGTACTTGCGATATTTCTTTCGTCGTTGACGTCCCTATAATGATCTTTGAAGATAACGCATCACGTATCAAAAAGCTCAAGAAGGAATACATCAAAGGAGACAACACCAAGAACATTGCGTCGAAGTTCTTCTTATCGCATCAGCAACAAGAGTATCAAAAGATTGAAGTTAAGAAAATCCGTTCCCAAGACAACCTGGTCAAACTCTTCACCAAATCTTTGCCGAATACGACATTTCATAAACTTATTCAAGGAATTGGTATGAGTAAACCTTCTGAGTGTAACATTGTTAGCTTATTTTAGAATTATGTCAAACTGAGGGGGAGTATCCTTAAGTATACTCGCTTAATCTTAATGTACTTTTTTTTCCCTACGATTAGGAGCTTTTTTTCCTTTGGAATTTTGCTACCTACCAAGGTTTTGATGAGACACTCATCTTGTGTTGGTCATATCCCTGATGTACGTCATGTAGACGTTTAATTTGACTTTGCACTTTCTCACACAATTTTCCTTAGATTATGTTATCCTGCCTCGGGTTTTACCATAGCCATTGGGTTTTTGTGAGATTTAGTTCTATATGCAAGTTCTTTTGTCTAACACTAGTGTGTTCTTATGTTATCCTGCCTCGGGTTTTACCATAGCCATTAGGTTTTTGTGAGACTTAGTTCCATATGCAAGTTCCTTTGTCTAACACTAGCGTGTTCCTATAATTAGTGCCGACAAGTCCACTTCCTCAACTCTAGTTGATGACGAATCTACTTGAGTATTTACACAGTCAGGGGGAAATGTTATAGATATTAAATTAAAGTGTGATTGTGTAAATCCTGGATAGGTTTGGTTACTAACTATTTTTTCCCTACTAAGATTGTATTTACTTGGAGGACAAGTACTCATCTCCTCTGCACTACTATAAATAAAGACACTAGGTAGGGGATAACAACATCTCATAGACACAGAGAAATTCCTACACTTTCTCCCCTCTCTCCTTGCCGCACCCCTCTATTAACTTGTCACATAAATTGGCCACAACAATTTCAATTGAATTTAGTTAATTATTAAAACAGCTATATAATTTATGGTAAAGATTTATTAACTTTTTGACTGAAGGTAAAATTAAAGGAAAACTAATGAAAATGGCTTGAAAACTTTGAGTTTTAATGATAAGGACAAAATAAAGGGTAAAGTGAATAATACTAAGATTGACTTTTTAGTGTAAAAATATGGTTTTTCGTTAAAATGAACAGTACCAGGTGCTTTTTGTTAAAGTTCCCTAAAATTAATATGTAACTTAGCCGAAACTAGTTACTTGAGCTCCAAGTGATTAATGACCAAACGGCTTGGTGAGTGTCGTATTCCAGGGGGTGAGTTTCTTCGAATCACAACAAAGTGAACTCATGCTTCGCCGATCGTCTCGTGCAATCTCTCTCTCTCTCTCAGATAAACTCATGCTTCGCCGATCCCTATTCGGACCCAGATTCAAGGCCAAGAGCCTCTCCATATCCGGGCAGAGGAAGAATCCGGACCGACCACCGAAGCTCCGAGGTGAGATCCGGAATCGTTTTGGTATGCATGTTTTTGGATTTAGTTTTAGGGTTCGGGTTAAGGTTAGGGTTAGGGTTAGGGTCTGTGAAGTGGGAGGAAGAGTATTTGTAATTCGAATTGGCAACTTTGTAATTTGGCTATCTCTGTTTGCAATCTGAAATTTGAATTAATTTCTTACCTAATTTTGTGTGTGTGAATACAATAATTCCCATTCCCTTTTTACATTCAAAATAGTATGCGTGTTATGGGTTTATGCATGTAATAGTAATACTAATAGCAGCTAGATAGTCATTTACAATCAATTTAAGTATCGGAATTTCGTTTGATTCGAAGGTAATGAATAAATATATAAAGGTTGATTGATTGGGTAGAATTCTCAACAAAATTCGTTTTGTTGGGAAGTATTAATTTCAAGGTCAATTACATTCTGTATGTCATACGCAGGGCTTTGTTATCCTCCCAACAAATTAACCGACAATGAATGTGAATCGAATGTAGTTGAACTTGAAGCATGTTATGCAGTAGTAAGTATTTGATTATTTGATTATTTGAATGGGATCGATCGAGAATACAAAGAGATTAAGGGCAGTTAATCTTGCCCAATCTAGATGGATATGTATGTATTGTTAACATGTCTGTGCATTAATTTCGTCAAACAATTGTACAGATGTGAAGAAACAAGTAAAGGCTGTTCAAGAGTCTCAGAGTCCAATCCAACTTGAAAAAGAAGAAGCACATGCTGTTAAACCTTGTGAAGTTTGTGGTGGTGCTGCTGGTTCCCATCCTAGTGTAGTGTGCCCGTATCTGCATGATGTCCCGTGGCATGTTACGAGTGTTGGCGAGGGCTACAAAATAGCGTGTTGGTTTTGTTGGAAGGGCCAGTATTGCAGGCATCTAAAAAGGTATGTTATTCGACTTAGGTGTATGAAGTGTGGAGCGAATGGTCTCCACACATTCTGGGACTGCCCTGAGAGGCGAGGGAAGGGAATTGAGATGCCCTCCGTTCGTCGAGTGAAGCTAATTGGGACGTCCTCTGTCCGTCCAGGGATGTCACAGTTACGTCGTCCACGGTGGTAACTAGGTTAATTGCCTCCTCATTTTCTCTGAGTAGTTTCAGCACTAGCTAGTCCTTATCTGTTCATGCGTCAGGCGGGTCTGTCTTTGGAGTTTGTGGTTAATTAGCGCATAGTTGGAGTTACTGGTGGTCTTGGTCTTGGAATAGGCACATGCTCTCTTTTTCAGCAATTACTTAATATGTAGGGGTAGTATTGGCTTAATCTCCTTGCTTAAATAAATTGAATCGACTTTGATGATAACAATCTTTGCGATATGCTTCTTATGCCCAAAACCGATATTCTAAGCCACACGGAGTGAAGAACCATGTGAAATATGTCTGTAGGGCTTTAGCCAGTCGCGGTCCGTTGAGTGAGAGCTCGCTCAAAATGCCTTATGTTGAACAACTTTTGAGTTCTTTAATGTCAGTTTCTACTGAAATATCAACAGTTTAATTTATGATATGAGATGAATAGAACTCGGAAGTAACCTATTCAAAACCAAAACAAAAAAATTTCCAAGTTTTTAATAAAGGCACCAGACCACCCGGTACGGCACCTACAAAGCAGAAAATAAAGAAAACACCAGCTCCTAAAAAATGCCCCGAAACCCGAAACCTTGATCAAGGGGCAAAACACTGTTCCCACGCAAACCCTAGATATACCCTTTTCAGATTTTCAGCTAATTAGAATGGAAAGTTCATGTATTTTCTGCATATTCGACACCGTGAAGGAAGAGTTTATAAACGAAACAGGGAAAAAGGAAGAAGAAAGCATGCGGATTTCTGAACTTGCATGGCGTCCGAGGCTTCTGACGGGCCTGATCGGCGAATTCATGAGTTCTTTTTTCATATGGTTTTTTCTGTATGATTCATTTCCTTTGAGAATTTTAAATTTTGGCAAATTTTAGAAGTTGTTCTTGTTTGGGATGGGTTGCTTCTGAGATTGCTAAAAATGATTATCAATATGTTTGGCAGAAAAACGATTCTAAATGCGTTTGGTAGAAAAAGTTCTAAGCGTTTTTTAGATAACCATTGGTTAGGTGCTTATACAGGAAGAATTTTCAAGTGCTTCCTTAAAAAGCACTTGAATTTTTAACCCAAAAAAAAAGAAAAACTGTTTTTAGTTGGAGCACTTTTAGCTAAAGTGTTTATGAGTGCAAGCATTTTCTACCGAAGCAATCCCGGTCCTGGCGAACGGGTCCAAGAAGGGGTTTCTGAAGAAATTAGAGGTTTTCGATGCTACCTTAAGAGAACCAAAAGCTGCGAAATGCGAATATGAAACTAATTGTGAAGAATGGTGGTGTTTTTCAGACCAGGAACCATGGAAGCTTTTGATCATAGAGCCGATTATTTGCATAATGAGCTCCCGGCTGTAAATTTCGATTTGGTATCTCATTGGAAGCCTTACTATGAATTTTACTCGTGGAGAATCTTTTGAGGTCCAATTACGATTACGTAAGTGAGCTTGTAGATGTGGAATGCAATCGAAGAAACGGTTGCAACCCTTCGGATGATGTCATGCTTGCAATTATGTATTTTTTATGCAACACAATTGTTGAAGTTTTGGTTTCAACTTTGTTGTTTCAATCTTATTATCTGCTGCAATGGCAGCATTGTTTATATACATTTTACATACACGCATGCAATAAAGAAAAGCAATACAGGTGTTGTGCTTGCTGTCATGATGCAGCAACTAGAGAAAAAGAAAAACAGCAAACCATGTGGTAGTACCATGTGGTAGTCTATCTGTCAAGGAATATACAACATTCCTTTTCACGAGCAATATTCCTTCTCTCCATACTGTCCTAGCTGTCAATATCATATTCCCTCTCTCCCATATTGTCCTAGCTGTCAATACTCCCCCTCAAGCTGGATCAAGGGGGTTGATTGATCCAAGCTTGAACAATAACCGTTGAAACTGTGTAAAATCAAGAGCTTTCGTGAAAAGGTCCGCAAGTTGATCATGACTTCTAGTGTACACATTTTCGATGACTTTGGATTGGACTTGAGTGCGGATGTAGTGGCAGTCAACTTCAATGTGTTTAGTCCGTTCATGGAATACAGGATTGGATGCAATATGCATGGCAGCCTGGTTATCACATAATAAGGACATGGGTTCCTTGCTGGTGAAGCCAAGATCAAGAAGGAGACTCTTCAACCAGATGAGTTCAGAAGCTGTTGCGGCCATGGCCCGATATTCAACTTCAGCACTGGACCGTGCAACCACTGTTTGTTTTTTACTTTTCCAGGTGACAAGGTTTCCACCTACAAAGGTACAAAAACCGGAGGTAGATTTTCGATCAAGGGAATTACCAGCCCAGTCCGCATCGGTATAAGCCAGAATGTGATTAGACTCATTTTTCTGCATGAGTATGCCTCTGCCGATCGAGCCCTTGAGGTATCGAAGTATTCTCTTGACAATTTCCCAATGAACCAATGTAGGAGAATGCATAAACTGACTGATAAGGCTTACGGAGTAAGCAATATCAGGTCTTGTGATAGTGAGATAAATGAGTTTCCCAACCATGCGTTGATACACATTAGGATTTGAAAGAAGGTTACCTGGAGCATCCAGTTGAAGTTTGCTAGCAAGTGGGGTGCGGGCAGGTTTGCAGTTGACCATATGTGCTTCATCAAGAAGGTCAAGAACATACTTCCTTTGATTTAAGAATAAACCCTTGGAGGAAGTAGCCATCTCAATTCCCAGAAAATATTTCAAGGATCTCAAATCTTTAATGGCAAACTGTTGGTGAAGTGACCTTTTAAGAGCTTCGAGTTCATCCATGTTGTCTCCCGTAATGATAAGGTCGTCAACATATATAAGGACTACAAGCTTCCCTTGGACACCACTTCGAACAAAGAGAGAGGAGTCAGCATGACTCCTTTTGAACCCTGCCACTTCAAGAACGGAGCTCAGTTTGGCATACCAAGCTCGAGGAGACTGTTTAAGTCCATATATCGCTTTATGAAGCTTGCAGACTTTGGTAGGTTCTTTTTCTTGAGGGTGTCCTGGAGGTAGCTTCATGTACACCTCTTCTTGAAGCTCGCCGTGAAGAAATGCGTTTTTAACATCCATTTGAAACAAGGGCCAGTCGTGGTTGACTGCTACTGATAACAACACCCTCACGGTGTCATTTTGGCAACGGGAGCAAATGTCTCCTTGTAGTCAATGCCGTAAGTTTGAGTGAAACCCCGAGCAACCAACCGGGCCTTGTGTCTTTCAATGGTACCATTAGAATTGAATTTGGTCTTGTAAATCCATCTACTCCCTACGGCTTTCTTCCCTTTGGGAAGATCTACTACACTCCAGGTTTTATTTTCGTGCAGTGCCTTGAGCTCATCATGCATGGCATCTCTCCACACATGCATACATACTGCTTCTTGAAAGTTTTTTGGCTCAACATTGTTTGCCAACTGACCTAGGAAGGATGCATGAGATGCTGACAGTTTGTGATAAGTGAGGGCTTCAGAAATGGGATGCCTTGCACTGTAAGTGATGTACTCTTGTAGCCGTCGAGGAGGGTTGCGATCGCGAGTTGGATTCCTTTTTGGTGCTGCTACAATTGGTTGTGTGGCAACAACTGGTGCTGGGGCACGAGGTATATCTTCACTGACCATCTCATCAACTGGAGGATCACTTATAGGGTGGTATGGAGGGGTGTCTGTATGGATTTCAGCAAGAGTAGGTAGTGGAAAAATATCCATTAAACTCTCCCCCTGAGAACTATTTGGGGAGTGATTGTTGAAGAAAGGAACGTGTTCATCAAACCGTACATCCCTAGAGACAACCAGCTTCCCAGTGTGTGGGTTATAACATTTGTATCCCTTTTGTGAACTCGAGTACCCCATAAACACACATTTGATAGCTCGAGGTTCAAGTTTATCACGATGATTTGCTTGAACGTGAACATAACAAGTGCACCCAAAAATCCTGAAATGAGTTAAATCAGCAGTTCTTCCCTTCATAACTTCAAAAGGTGATTTGGAATTCAGGACACGAGTGGGAAGTCTGTTAATGATATATGCTGCAGTAAGGAGTGCTTGGGACCAGAATCTTTTGGGAACTTGCATCTGAAACATAAGAGACCTAGTTTTCTCCAATAAATCCCTATTCTTGCGTTCGGCCACACCATTTTGTTGTGGTGTACCCACACAACTAGTTTGATGCAAGATACCATGGCTGCTCAAGTAGTTTGACAGATTATTGGAGGTATACTCGGTGCCATTATCTGACCGTAAGGTAAATATTTTTGAGGAGAAGTAGTTGGTTATTAGCTTATGAAAGTCTTGAAAAGCTGTAAAAAATTCACTTTTAGACTTTAAGAGATATAACCAAGTAACCCTAGAGTAGTCATCTATGAATGTAACAAAATACTTGTACCCATCAAATGACTCAACACGAGAAGGTCCCCAAATATCTGAGTGTACAACTTCAAAGGATTTACTAGTTCTAGATTTAGAGGGTACAAAAGGTAGCCTAGTGGCTTTTGACATTTGACAGATCTCACACTCATGTGTGTTGGTACAATAATTTGGAAATAATTTAGACATTACTGGTTCGGAGGGATGAGCTAGGCGTTGGTGCCAAAGTTGATGCTTCTGGACATGACTTAGGTTGGCAATAGGTTCCTTAACTTGATTGAACTCCTTTGAGAGGTAGTACAGACCATTTAAGAAAAAACCCTCACCAATCTTCTTTTGAGTGACTCGATCCTGAAATACAACTGTGTGAGGAGAAAAAATAGCAAGACAGTCCAAAGTATGTGTGATTTTTCCTATGGACAGAAGCTGAAATGGAAATGAGGGTACATATAGTGCCGTAGACTCTACATCACTCCCCATCAATTTAATTTTTCCTTTTCCTAGAACTGGTTCCCCTTTCCCATTCGCTACAGACACATGAGTAGGATTAGGTAATTTTTGAAACTCATGTAGACAAGCTTGTTTGTTGGTTATATGGTATGTGGCACCTGAGTCTATAATCCAAAAATCGTGTGTGAGATATACATTAAGAGCCGTGGAAAGTGCACAAATGATACCTGGGATATTGCCGGATGTAGTGGTGTTTGAATTTGCCAAAAAACCAGCAAATTTTCCAAGCATTTCTGTGGGATTTTCCGTGGTGACATTGTTACCCTCAGCGATATCACTCTTCTTTTGGAGAAAGGCAGCAAACTCATTGATCAGGGAGATAGGGTTTGAGGTGAAGTTTGACATCTCATTAGATGGACGACTCAGAGATTGGAAGGCTTTAGGCGCAAACCCTTTCCCATCCTTGATCATTTTTCCTTCCTTGTTAAACTTAGGTTT